CTGTATTCCGTAATAACCTTCTAGCTCTTACGGAAAAACAATATATTGATTGGCTGTCGCGCAGATTTCTGCCGCGCGGCAAGCATTACCGCGTTCTGTGCAGGAACCATTAGTTTTACTATAGGACGGTATTTATAGTCCGATTTTATATTTAAGATCATCTTAAGTACTGTCTTAAAATGTCATGAACCAATCACAGAACCGTATTTGTATCTTAAGACATTACTTAAGACTGTCTTGAAATAAGATTCGACTATGAATACCGCCCATAGTATATGTATCAACTCCATCCAGCGCATTTGTATAGAGCATAATTACATTAAAGTGAGTAAAATAATAGATTATAAATATTCTCACGTTTGCTTATAATATTTCTTCATTTTATATATTATTTTTTTAGAATTAATATAACACACAAACAAAAAATAAAATAATAAAATAATAAAATTAATTACAATAATATAATAATTGTTATTATTACCTATATATATGATTCCTGAAATTGTTTTTCTGGGATATCAAAAGGATTTTGAGTATCTCTTAAAATTTTACGAATAATGTGTAAATTCTCGTTTCTTTCGTTTTGTTTTCATTAACTATCCACCATACAGCAACCGTCGTAATTGATTAACTTATTATAAATATGGATATTACTTTTCACGGGAAATATCAATTCGTATGAAAGTTTTCATTTTTTCACTTTTTTGCACTAAAATTTTCACTTTTTTGCTTTACGTGAAAATTTTCACTTTTTCACGAATTCATCCTAGGTGAAAAGATACATGATCGACCCCCTGGAGCCAAAGATTAAAGTTGAAGTTGAAACAAATCTCTCTAAAGCCCGTGTCAGACTATAGATTAGGATTGAAATTGAATTGAAATTTAGCCAATCAGAATAAAATTCACTAAGCTCAAGTTTGGTAAACTTTGCTCTAATTGCCCAATTTTTAATTCAGTCTCAATCTTAATCCGTAGTCTGATACGGGCTTAAGGGCCCTCACACGTGAAATGACATAACTGCATGTGCATAGCATAAGACTGTATGGACAAATGAGCATCGAGTATTTAGCCGCTATATTGATGCTTGATGCTCAATATTCGATGCTCATTGATCCATACAATCTTATGGCTTCTACACACAGGATGCGGTAATGCTTGCCGCGCGGCGGAAGTCCGCGCGACAGCCAATCAATATGTTGTTTTTTCAAAACATATGTTGTTGTTTCAACTTCAACTTTAATCTTTGGCTCCAGGGGGTCGATCATGTATCTTTTCACCTAGAATGAATTCGTGAAAAAGTGAAAATTTTCACGTAAAGCAAAAAAGTGAAAATTTTAGTGCGAAAAAGTGAAAAAATGAAAACTTTCATACGAATTGATATTTCCCGTGAAAAGTAATATCCATATTTATAAGAGCTAGAAAGTTATTACGGAAATCAGCATACGTATTAGCTGTCGCGCAAACTTCCGCCGCGCAGCAAGCATTACCACGTCCTGTGTGCAGGAGCCATTATGCAATGCACATACAATTATATCGTTTCATGTGTGAGGCTGAAGTCCCATGGCACGTATTTTTGCGTAACTGCGTAACTAATCACATTTTCCTATTCTTTTAGAAGTTCCAACAGAAATACTAAACGACGAAATCTATTGATTACGCGCTTACGCGATACGCAGAAAATACATGCCATGGGACTCCAGCCTGAGGGCCCTTACAGATGTCTCGCCTAAACTCTATAGGTGCTTTCAAGTTGCATATACTATGTTACACAAGTAATACCAACCAGTTTATTGGTTGTATATTATCTTACAAGATATTTTAGATAATATGTGATCAATAAACTGGTTTTGTGAGTGTCAAGATGTATTAAGCAATTGGAAAGCACCCTATATTTTCTCTATATTTTCCTTAAAGTTGGTAATGTTGGGATATCGACTGAATAATCCCTGGAACCAATGGCTTGGTTTACATCGTGCACTTGATACGCGTATTAAATAGTAACTTTCTATTAGATAATCTTAATATCGATGATGTATATAAATAACGATATATTAAGCTGGTATAATATTGATCAAGAAGATTTATTTTATCGATTGAATGCGTCGACGTTGATATGCATTGTCAATATTAAGATTATTTAATAGAAAGTTACTATATAGTACGCGTATCAAATGCATGATATAAACCAAGCCAATAATGAGCATTGATACAGTTCATAAAGTAGATTGACATATTCTATTGGACGGAAATGCACAAAATGTCTTTGATCTTTTATGTTAATAGGTCTAGGAAAAGGAAATAAATGAATGATCATTGATCTTCCTACTGATTTTTCATTGGTTGAATTTTGTTTAATAAAAAAGAGAATAGTAACGTATTTTTACAAATTGAAAACTTCCTCAACATGTTACAATATAAGTTACAATGGCTTGGTTTACATCGTACACTTGATACGCGTACTAAATAATAACTTTCTATTAGATAATCTTAATATCGACAATGCATATCAACGGCGACGCATTCAATTAATACAATATGTTTTGTTGATGAGTATTATACCAGCTTAACATATCATTGTTTATATATATCGTCGATATTAAGATTATCTAATAGAAAGTTACCATTTAATTTGCGTATCAAGTGCACGATGTAAACCAAGCCATTATAATAACGTTACACTATAGGTACGTAACATTGTATGTAATCATATGTTAAACATCAATATATCAACTCATGCATAAATAAAATTAATATTATTTATAATTATATTGCGGTAAATTATGTTGAAAAAAGTTAGATGATATCGATAATATCGATATCACTAATATCGATACATTTCACCTGATATTTTTTATATATCGATATTTTTATTTACGATACGTTTCGATACGAAATATCGAAACTTTCTACTGTATTGCCCATCCCTACTTGACGCTAGAGATTTTCCTGTATCTCATGAATTTTGCGATTTTTTTTCAGGAATTTCTGGGGAAATTTTACTAGAAATTCTGCAGGAATTATTTTTATCGATCTGGCAACACTGTCGTACACATAAGTATTTGCGAGCCCTGTGGGAAATTTGTAATATTAATGTAATGTTATTGTTACTTGATGTTTATTTGAATAGTTTTTAATCTTTTTTTTTTATTTTAGTGTCCAAACTTTAAGTATTGGAGTGAGTATTTCATTATAATGTATCGAGATTAAGTTATCCACATAGAATAAGTGATTATGTTTACAAATACAATATTTTAAGTAGATTTTTGTTGTGTTTTCTCTTTCCGCAGTAACCATGGTTCGAAAGTACGAAAGAAAAACAGCTAGAGCTAATACTCCACCTGATATTATGCTTAAAGCTGTCAGAGCTGTTAAATTAAATAACCTATCAATCCGACAAGTTGCTGAAAAGTTTAATATCAATTATCGTACGTTAACTCGTTATTGCAAAAAGATTCCTGAAGAGGAATTACTATGTGAGAATATTACCACCCCAACGATTTCTATAGGTTATGTTAAAGTCAGACAAACTTTCACTAACTCTCAAGAACAGGAGTTAATAAATTACATTCGGCATGCATCAGATATCTATCTTGGTCTTTCTACCAAAGAAGTCAAAATCTTGGCTTATAATTTAGCTCAGTATAATTCCATTAAGATGCCTGCATCCTGGATTAAAAATAAAATGGCGGGAGATGATTGGTTAAATGCATTGATGAAACGTCACAGTGATCTTCCAATTCGAAAAACAGAAACCACAAGTAAAACGAGAGAAATAAGTTTCAGCAGAGCTAATGTTGAGTTATTTTACAAGAATTTGGAAAGGATAATGACTTGTTATCATTTTCAACCTGAAGATATTTGGAACATGGATGAAATTGGAATAACAACTCTCCACATACCAAATAGAATGGTTGCTCGGAGAGATCAAAAGCAAGTTGAAAACAATATTTCAGCTGCACGTGGAAATTTAGTTACTGTGGCTTGTACTATATCTGCAAAAGGAGATCACATGCCACCCTTTTTTGTGTTTCCTCGTGTATATTTTAGGGATTATTTTATTGCATCTGCTCCAGCTGGAACAAGTGGCACTGCCAACAAGTTGGGTTGGATGGAAGAAAAAGACTTTGAAAAATTTTTAAGACACTTTCATGCTCACTCAAAGTGCTCGATTGAAAAACCAGTTTTGTTATTATTGGACCAACAAAGTTTACATCTCAGTATTGAAAGTTTAAACTATACAAAAGGAAATGGAATTGTGATGTTATCCTTTCCACAATATTGTTCACATAAATTACAACCTCTTGATAGAACAATATTTGAACGCTTCAAAGAACATGTAAATTCTGCTTCTAATGCTTGGATATTAAACAACCCTAACCACACAATGAATATTTATAATATCCCTGAAGTTGTTGCTGTTGCCTATCCTCTTGTCATGACACCAACAAATATTCAAGCAGGTTTTAAATGCACTGGCATATTTCCTTATAATAATGACGTTTTCTCAGACTTGGATTTCGAATCAGATTTCATCACTGATGAATCATCTCTTGAAAAAAATGTAGTAAAGTAAGCATGAAATATTAGTTTACTATATTAATGTAATGTACTATTAATATAATATTGTAATAATATTATTGTAGGAATAATGACGAAGAACAACTTATAAAAGAAGATATGATAAAAATAGAAACAGCTAGTTTTTGTTCTTCAGAGTGTGATGTTTCTGAATCATTTCCTGAAGAGTCAGACAAAGTTTTTAAAATATCAAGTGATGAGGAGAAAGAAAAAATGGAAGATTTTCATTCTTCTAAAATTGGTCCAAGGAAAAGTCCTCGTAAGTATGCAAAAAGACAAGTAGCAACAACTGTTGCTGATATACCAGCAATAAAAAAACTGGAACTAGAAAATATAGAAAATAAGGACACAAATAAAAGAAAAAGTATCAAAATATCACTTAAAAAAATGAATAAAGAAACAAAAGATGAAAATTCTACTAAAAAACTCAAAGAAATTAAACAAGTGACAAAATGTAAGAAGGTTGCAAAGAAGAAGGAAGCTCTTAAAGAAAAAGAATGTTTTTGTACAATTTGCCTGAAATCTGATCCTGACAGTTTGTCTAAAGAAAAATGGGTCCACTGCACTCATTGTAAGAAATGGTCTCATGAAGCATGTATTTCTGTTGTATCATATTATACATGTCGCAAATGTGAGTCTATGTGAGCTCCTACATTATAAAATTGTTATATAATTCAGACTGCAATATGTTATTTACTGTAAGTTAAATCTTTATAAGAAATGCATACACCAAAAAAATTCTATTGTAAAAAGTTATCATTTTATGTCAATGATTGTGTATTAAGTTATTTTAATGATTATAAATTATTATTGTTTGACTTATTTTATGATTATTTACTAAAAACTACAAAAAAGGTAGTGCAAAAGTTTTACCTTGTATTTAACTTTAAAAAAATTATCATAAAATACTCATAAAAGTTAAATATATATTTTATAATTAAATTATTACTATTTTAAGTGATTATTTTATGAAGTACCTGATTACGTAACTTTAACTTTACTAAATTATTAAGATGTATTAGAATTATAACTATTTGTATTGTTTCTTCTATATGAAAAACGTGACATGTCTCAGATTGTATAATGATCAATCTTGGATTTATTATATGTTGTCATATTTGTATAATTTAATTTATAACTAAGGCCACGTTCTGTGTTACGCATATGCGTGCATTTATCTATATGTTATGTATATTGTAGGAAATGCGCGCCTCATGCGCAACTCGGAACGCACCCTAAGTAACTTTATTATGTATGTGTGTATATATATATATAAAAGAGTTTTTTCTAAATCTAAGAAATGTAGCAATGTTAAAATGTGCGTGACAAAATAAAATAATGTATAGATTTTTTTAAATCAGTCTCTAAAAAATGCAACAAACCATCATCCTTACTGCCTATTGCATTGTCTAGCAACTATCCTACATTTAATTTCACAACTCTTATGTTTCTTTCCTGCAAGTTTTAACAATATCCTTATTACAGTAAAATATACGAAAATGTATCTGGAAACTAGAGACTTCAAGTTGTAGAAGCCCATACAGAATAAGTATCTAAATACCTTGTTCACCTCTTGATAAGCTACCTGATAGTTAAATCATATATTTATCTCTGTCAAAGTTTGAAGAAAAAACGAAAGCAGATATGATCTATCAAGTAGCTTATTAAGAAATTGGGAAAATCGGCTCTTAGAGACATCGTAAAGAATATTTGAACGACATTCTACTTACTTCAGACATCTTTAGAGTATCTTTAAGATGTAATTTACCCCTTGTCCACAACTTTGCTTTAAGCCGTAATAAATTAACCAACTACAGTCGATTATATTAAAAATAATGAACTGTGGTAGGTCAATTTCTTACGGCTTAAGAATTAAAGCAAGGTTGTGGACAAGGGATACGACACTTGTGCTATTTGGGATGCTTCTCTAGCAATTTCATTATTATTATTTTTGCAGAAGTTACAATCCATTGAATTCTACATATTTTTCGTAATCGAGAAAAGTAAATGAAACTTGTAGTTAATAAATTATTTTTTCATTTATTGTACTACAGACTTTATTAGTCGCTCCCCTTTGACAAAAAATTAAAGTCGCAGCACGATTTAGCGGCGAGCAAAAAGACGATCTTTTTATTTCTCAATAGTAATAGATTCAACACCAAACAAATAAACTTCTATCCAGCAGTTCAACTGAATAGTGGGTCGAAAATAGAATTCTTTCTCTGTCTGTGTCTAATACCGAAAAATAAAAATCTATTTTCCTGATATTAAAGTATTAGACTGAACGATTGGGATGAGTCATCGCTCGCGCGTATACATACGTATACATAAGGTGAAATGAAAGTTTCAGAACGAGCGTGGGATACATATTACAGCGGTGGGGGAGAACCGAACCTTTGAACTTCCGTATAAGGTTGCTCTGAGTAACCGTGGCTTTCCAGCTATTTACTTATGTCTCACCGCGTGCCTCGATTATTTCGTGTGATACAAACTGATATTATACACGTAATATTTCATACGTAACATGTGATCTTTAGTCTTTGGATCACAATCCATCATCTTATTATCTTCATTTTCTTTATTATCCCCCCTGCTTATCTTCGGGATTACCTATAGTTATATGTAGTAAGACAAAGAATGGATGGGCGTTTCTTCCATTTCGGGGAATGAACGCTTACGTTCGTTCGAACGAAATGCGGACGAACTTTCAGGAAGATCAGCAGCTGCATCGTGAGTACATCGAAAGAGAAGGACACGAGAAAGTTCATGTTGTAAATTAGGATTCTTCTAATTAAATTAGGATAATTAGAGCGATAAAATAAAATAGATGTATAACATGAAATTACGTGAACCTAAAATAATGCAAACTTCTAAAAAAACATCTTAAAGATGTCTGAGGTAAAAAGGTAAAAGACGTCTAATATCCGTTTCTACCAACATCAATTAAAGCTTAATTTACATGTTCAAACTCTATTCAGATAAAAATATAGATTCAAATAAAAACGTGACGTTGATTTAAACGTAAATGAGATATCATCTTTTAGAAATTTGCGCTGCTTCTAGAATTTTCACGAATTATGCACCAATTGTTACTTTATCAAGATAATTGATATTACATTAATTACCCAGATATAATGTCTAAAATCTTTAAGATGTCCTTCAGACGATTTACGTATAAATGTCTTTAAGGCGCCTTAAAGATTATCTTTAAGACGTCTTATGTTCCGATTTTAAACATTATGTTGTCTGGGTACTCGCAATCTTGTCCCAGACAATATATGTCCTGAGATCATCCTAGTTATACTCAGGACGTACTTTTCAAGCACGTTTTAGACATGATCCTGGAATTTGGGTTATGTTCGATGAAAAACGTCTGGCTTCTAATAACCCATACAGTACAAATCTTCAAATGAGGTTCTAAAGACGTTCTAAGAACATTCATACATTCTAAGAACGTTCCAGAACATTCTCTGAAGACTTTGTGCTATCTGGTAATTTTTAAAGATCAAAACTTGATTAGAATCCATATAAAGTTAATGATCAAAACTAGCTTATTGAATTCTAGTCTCCAATCTACAAATCTCTATTTTCAATATTCAGTCTAATACAGACTTTATATCAGTGATAGATGACATCGATTTTAGAAAGAGACATTAGGTCTGTCCTCTTTAGTTGATGAACTGGCTGTTCATTTAAAATATTATAAAATTTTATCAAAGAAAAGTCAGAGTTGGAGTTCAAAACTATATATACAGCAAGCATACCAAATCTTTGCTTTAATATTTTTCATAGAAATGCTAAGTACCCACTAGGATCCAGAATGTATTTTGAATAAATTTGATATTTAAACTTATAATAAATTTGCGGATATATGTAAACTTATAAAATAAAAGCTGAATTTCAATCAAGCCTTAATCTGAGTTCAAGTCTTTGTCTGAAGCATGTTGATAGCTCACATCGAGACTCAACTGACGTTAGTCGAGACTGGCATAAAACGTTCGTTTATTATTTATAAACGGACATAGCGGGATATACGTTTACGCGCGACGGAGCGTGTCCAGGCGAGTCGCATCCCGCCGGCCTGAAAAATTCTACCTCGGTGTATCATCGGCGAGAATCGATCGTTGCCAAGCATGCGGCTGAGCTATTATGGTCGGCCTTTCCAGCCGTTCACCCCGACCCAGCAAAATCGATGAAACAAAAGCGAGACCGCATATGGCAACCGAGGAGAATTTGGGACTACATGTTTCGAGCGACGAGATTCTCTCGGTGGAAACAATCGAAAGCGGCGTAATCGCCAGGTTCAATATTCCGTGCACGCGAAAAAGATCCTTACATCGTAAATGTCACTTCGCTCACAGGCGAATATAAGCGCGAAAATCACGATCGAGTGTTCAGGACGTGCGAATTTGCGCCCCACGAAACCCCGTTGGCGTCAACCGTAATCCCGAAAACGGCAAGAGGCGATTATTATTCGCCAATTTGGCGAACTCGCGACCGTCGCTGCGGCGTTCTGCGGTCGGCGGGCGACCAATCGCGCGTGGCAGCTGCGCCACGGCGTCGCCAGGCAGCCAATGAGCGGCCGCCAAGCGGATCGATCGTCTGGACTATAAAAGCCGTTGCCTGGAGAACGCCGCGCATTAATCGTTTGATTCCGACGAGACGTGCGTGGTTGATAGCGGAAGCTCCATTACTTGCTGCGTCTATCGACCGCTCCTTTTCTTCGTTGAAGCATTATCCGTTAGGAATAAAGTAGCAAAATGGTGAGTGCCGTCAAAGTTCAAGAGTGCGCGACCGGGGAAGAGCCTGAGGAACCACGGCGACAGATTTGCGAACGGCTCGCTGAGACTTCTCGGTGATCCTGTCGTGGACGCGCTGGAACGCGCGGCCGGCCGGCTCCGCCCTTTCTCTGTCGCCATGGATGACTCATCCTCTTCGTCATGACGCTTCTCGAAATTCGTAGAGTTAATCACTGCGTATCGTCGCGATGTTCCTATTATGCTAGTGTGACGTCGGAGAGTCATGAATCTTGCATGAAAATTCGTGTCATTTAGCGTTGACATAACGCTCTGACAATTTTATATCGGAATTCAGTGCTTTTTAGCTAGACTATGCACATAAAAAATTACATACTACATTTAAGCTAGTATTGTTTCAAGTATTTTATAAGAGTTTATATATCCGCAAATTTATTATAAGCTCACCATAAATGTTAAATTTATTCAAATACATTCTGAATTTTAGTAAATTTAGTATTTTAATGAAAAATATTGAAATAAAAATTTAGTAGTTTTATTATATGTAGGTTTGAATCCACTTCTTCTCGAATAAAATTTTATAATATTCTAAATAAGCGATCAGTTCATCAGTTAAAAAACTTTCCTAATATCTCTTTCTCTAAAATTGGACTGATATAAAGTCTGTATTCGTCAATTTTGATCATAGCTTGTTTTATATAGATTTCAATCAAGTTTTGATCTTTAATTTGTAATCTTCTGTTTTTAATAACTAACCTGATATAAGCTCAAATATTACAAATTGAAGATTGCAGATTAGAAATTAAAAACATTTAAGATTGTCCTAAGTTCATCGTGAAGTGCTGTAATGACTTTATTAGCTGTAAAATAAAATAAAGACTATCATAAATATAAATTTGGGCTGTACCATCCTATAGAATTTGATAAATTAACTAATTTTGACTTTGCTTTGTCACAATTATCAAGTTCTAATCTGCAATTTCAATTTCTAATACATAGTTTGATATAGTCAAATATTGCAGATTAGAGACAAAATAATACTCGCAGACCAATCTTATTTTTAAGATTGTCATAAGTTCATTTTAAGATGCTGTAAAGTTACTTCATCGATTGCATGGTATTGTAAAGTAAAATAAAGCCAATTTTAATCTCTCATCTCTTAGAATTTGACAAATTAATTAATTTTGATCTTGATTCACTTTGTACCAATCCTGATCATGTCTCAATATGCAATTTCCAATATTTCGATATAAGCTTAAGTACTGGAGGTTCAGGGTTGCAGATTGAAGATAATATTCAATGTCCAAGATTGTCTTAAATTCACTTTTAAGATCCATCTACAATAGGATTGGCAGTAGATAGTAAAATGTAAGCAAATTGATCAATCATAGTTGATTATTAATAATTGACTGTAGTCAATTTGCTTACGTCTTACTGTCTACTGCCAATTCCCATAACAGATGGACCTTAAGGTGTTGTAAGGCCAACTTTACAAAATGTAGCAAGCCTTTTAAATCATAAGAAATTAACAAATTATAGTGGAATGTAAAGAGAGTAATCAACTATGATTGGTTAATTTCTTATGGCTTAAAGCTTATTGCAACTATTATAGAGCCGGCCTAGGGGCTATATCCTTAAAATAAAATAAAGACTCTTAAATATAAAGTTTGATTAAATAACACTCTGAAATTCGACGAATTAAGTAATTTTAGTCTTGATTGATTTCATGCAATTCCAATCTCCAATCTTCAATCTGCAATTTTCTAGATGTTTTTAATACCTAGTTTGATACAAACTTAATGCTCACTTATTCAATTTTTTTGTTTTCAGCGCGAGTGCATCTCAATTCACGTTGGTCAGGCTGGAGTACAGATTGGAAATGCCTGCTGGGAACTTTACTGTCTGGAGCATGGCATCCAGCCGGACGGGCAAATGCCATCCGACAAGACCATCGGTGGTGGCGACGACAGTTTTAACACTTTCTTTAGCGAGACTGGTGCTGGCAAACACGTTCCTAGGGCGGTATTCATCGACTTGGAGCCAACAGTAGTCGGTTCGTATTTCCTTCAGTTTTCTACAATACACAGGAGAAAATTGAATAAACGTTTCTAAGTTGACATATCCATTTTTTAGATGAGGTTCGCACCGGCACTTACCGCCAGTTGTTCCACCCTGAGCAATTGATCACGGGCAAAGAAGATGCCGCCAACAATTACGCTCGCGGTCACTACACGATCGGCAAGGAGATTGTCGATTTGGTTTTGGATCGTATCCGCAAGTTGGCTGATCAATGCACTGGTCTTCAAGGATTCCTCATCTTTCACTCGTTCGGTGGCGGCACCGGCTCAGGCTTCACCTCCCTGCTGATGGAACGTTTGTCCGTGGATTATGGCAAGAAATCAAAACTGGAATTCGCCATTTACCCCGCGCCCCAGGTCTCCACCGCCGTTGTCGAGCCGTACAACTCTATCCTGACCACGCACACCACACTGGAACATTCCGACTGCGCTTTTATGGTCGACAACGAGGCCATTTACGACATCTGTCGTCGTAATTTGGACATCGAGCGACCGACCTACACGAACCTCAACAGACTGATTGGACAGATTGTGTCCTCCATCACTGCATCCCTGCGCTTCGACGGCGCCCTCAATGTCGATCTGACCGAGTTCCAGACCAACTTGGTACCTTACCCGCGTATCCACTTCCCTCTAGTGACGTACGCGCCGGTAATCTCTGCGGAGAAGGCTTATCATGAACAGCTATCCGTCGCCGAGATCACCAATGCCTGCTTCGAGCCGGCCAATCAGATGGTCAAATGTGACCCTCGACACGGCAAGTACATGGCCTGTTGTATGCTGTACAGAGGCGACGTCGTGCCCAAAGACGTGAATGCCGCAATCGCGACCATTAAGACAAAGCGCACCATCCAGTTCGTCGACTGGTGCCCGACGGGCTTCAAGGTCGGCATTAATTATCAGCCGCCGACCGTCGTACCTGGTGGCGACCTCGCCAAGGTGCAACGTGCCGTCTGCATGTTGTCCAACACCACCGCCATCGCAGAGGCTTGGGCTCGATTGGACCACAAGTTCGATCTGATGTATGCCAAGAGGGCGTTCGTGCATTGGTACGTCGGTGAGGGTATGGAGGAGGGCGAGTTCTCGGAAGCGCGTGAGGATTTGGCCGCTCTCGAGAAGGACTACGAAGAAGTCGGTATGGATTCCGCAGAGGGCGAAGGCGAAGGAGCTGAGGAATACTAAAAGACACGCTTCGCTCTTTTCATGTTCGAAATGTTTCCGCATTTCTTTTCCTTTTTTCAATCGTATAACGGGACACAAGTCTAAATAAACTATCTGATTTGCAAGTATAATGACGTGTTTTGAATTCACTATATTCCTATCTTGACGGAGCCGTCCGTTTAATGATTTAATTACTTAATATTGTTTAATTATTTATATTATTAAAAAATTATGTGTATTGCGAGCCCCACTTTCACAAGAAATAGAACCTATTCCTCCTTTTTGTCTTTCTTCTTTACACGAGTTGCACGCCGACTTGTCCATTGTTCCTGCAATGCTTAAAAATTACGATAGGCAACCGAATCATTTCATGAAATAATTGACTTTTTTTTATGTTTCTTGTTAATACGACGAAAATGAAACGGGTAATTTAAATTTCTCCGACGTTTAAACTATAGAACGTTTTAAGTGATGAGTCAAGATGGTTTGTTATCAGATATCGATCGTCCACTTATCAACCGATGCATTATCGCGATTATAGTGGGTCACTGGATCACACACACGTATGTAGTTTTACGACTCTGCATTCTCGAGCGGGTCCGGTGTGAGGATATATGGAGAGAAACGATGCGAGAGCGTGACCGACGGATCAAATCGATCCGTAGGCTCCGCGAGCAGAAATGCGTGATATCGTGTAAGAAATACAATTTTTCTTCCACAATTTGCTTCTTCTATATTTCGTACAAATGCAACGAGAGAGAGAAAATTGTTAAACTCCTTACAAAATACTATTATTTCGGCTCTTTTGTTGATCTAAGAAAAAAGTAGTGTGATATGCATATATATATGCATACATATGTATACGAATTTTATATATGTACATAAAGTTATCATCAATAACATTATTACATAGAGCTTTTATTAGAAAACTTAAAAAAATTTTTTTAAATTATTTTATGCACACACACACGATTATAGCTACAAATACGAAACACTCTGAATACGATATAAATCAAAAGCGTGTGTTACAATATCTTTAAAAGAATGAACATTGAAAATCTAGAGAATTTTCAAAAATAGCTTTGAAATCAACCAAATATTTTTCGTGCTCAGAGATACTGCGATAGTGTAGAAACTTCTCCCAAACAGCATACATCTTCACAGGCCACATCCTCTAAATTCTTATTCTAAGAACGTTCTTAGCACATTCCTTGGAGATGTGCTGTCTGGTTTCTTTGGTCTCAGATATTTCAGATGTCAATACATTAGTCCATAAATGTGTTAAGTGACTTTTTAAAAACAGAAAAATGACGTAGTCTATATATATCCAAATATAAATATTTAAATGTATCTCTGGAAAAGTCTTGTTATTGATATTTAAATATTAACTAATGCATCAATTATTTTAAATCTGTACATTGTTAGTGATAATTAGGGTTGAATAAATTAATATTGTTTAAGTTGTCTTTTAAATTAAGTTTAAATTTAATGGGTTGTTAAATTAATTTAGTTAAGTTAAAAGTTATGTAAACAAAAATTAAATTAAAAGTTAAAATTAAATTAATTTATTTAAAGTTTAAAGTTAATTATACAAAGCAATATGTATTCTTTTGCCTAATTAGTTTTATAAACATAGAATTCAAAAATAATGCGTAGAAAATAAAAAATAATGCTATTGGTATTATTTTTTATTTTCTATATGTTGCATTATATTTTTTATATTCTATATGCTATAAGCAACTTGCAATGATTTCAATATTAATAAATTATTTTAACCTTATAAAAAAAGTTTATAAGTTAAAGTTGATTCATAAATTTAACTAAGTTAATTTAAAAGTTATAACACTTTTAACTTAACATTTAACTTATTAACTTATAAATTAATGATTGATTAACTATACAGAAAAAGAGTCATTCCGGTTTTAAAAATATCTTTAATTTTTACATGTAAAATAAGATTATTACATAACGTTAAATGAAGATAAGTTATTTGCTCCAATATATGATTCGACAAAGAAAAATATATTCTTATTATTCAAAAATAATTTTAATGAATAGGAAGCACAAAATATTAGATTGAGAGTATGATGTTTTTAAATGTCGAGAAAAGATGTCATTATCATCAAAATAATTATATCTTATTTCTTATAATTTATTATAATATTCAAATAAAATTATAAAATCATTATTGAAATTTAGAGAATTTCAAATTCTTCTAACAAAATAACATGTCGTTACTTATATATGAAACAATGATTATTAATTTGAGTATATTAGTTTGATATCTATTTTTTTGTATTTCTTAATCTTGGTAATAACATAGACAGGCTTCAGCATTTGCAGATACATTCTTTAGACGTTCATTGTTATGTCTCGTTTATTTAGATCGCGAGCTATCGAGAATCTCTCCAACATCTTCCTCTTTTTATTGCCATCTCGATGCACGAATGTTTACAGCCGTAATCTCATTTAAGTCAGCGAGGTGTACGCACCATTGAGCAGCGATAAAGCGCTCTTGACATACGCGAGGAAAGTAGAATTCTTCGTGATAAGTGTTCTCGATATACTGTTGCACGATGTGTAACGCGGCAACGTAGAGTATCGGCTATCGTATAAATATCCCCCGGACGTATTTCAGCATTACAGAGTCATTCGGTGCGTTTGCGCTTTTATTAACGACGGCCATTCACGAAGTGGATTTATTCCGCGGCTCTTTTACGTCGCGATGACAACGGTCATCCGTAGTTTCTTTTCGCGATCGCTACCGGCGGTTTCGTGGCAGGTGCTGCGCTGGGTAGGAGGCCGGTTTCAGTCACCGATGATACATTCGCCGGTTCAGGGGTATAAATGAAGGACAATGACCTAATTGCGCGCAGAACGCCTCGTGCTTCCTCGATGGTCAATCAACGGGCGCGCGCGTGTTGATTCTCACCCGATCATTTATAAGCGCACATATCGAAACCACTCGGCCGGTTTTGTGCGGAATAGCGTATAAGAGAACCGGGAAACTCGCCGTGCAACCGGAATCGGTGCAGTTTTGTATGTTGCGGTTGATGAGAACGTAAGTCGCCATGAAGGTAAGAATTTCACGAACATTTAGACTACACTCATCGAAAGTGCACGCACTGTTGCACGCACATTTTACGCGCATTGTAAATTATAATTGTAATTGTAATTTGTGCGGGGAACGACAACAGGAGCGCGCGACACTGCATTCGCGAGAGAGAATTATTATTGTGTAAAAGATAATATCTATAATAATATTTATTAGTAATAATTATTATTATAAATTTTTTACATTATAATTACATATTTATTAATAATTAATATAAGAGTTATTTTTTGATGTGATGATGAATGATGATAAATTATTCATAATTAATGCTAAAAGTTATCTCTTACAGTAATAATGAATGATGATAAATTGTTAATAATTAAAACTGTCGTTTCAATCAACTCTACTTTTCGTCGATAAAATCACAATCGATTTGACCAAATCATGACGTCAAGTGACAACGAGGTGGGATTGACTTCGACAATGTTCGCAAGTGCTAATTAAAACCCAATAAATATTGAGTAACAGTAACATTACATTAATGTTATAATGTTAATATCGTTATATATATTGTTGAGCTTTCCGCTCAACAATATATATAATAACTATGATATACAACATGTGTTAACATTGCTCTTACATTGTCGAGTGGGAAATTATGTTAATGTAATGTTATTGTTATTTCATATTTATTAGGAAGAACTGACGATCAAAGTGAAAAAAAATACAATAGCAATCATCACTTCCAGGCTTCCTTCATTGATTTTGGAAAGTTCAGAAATTGTGTCATTCCTTAATTACAAAATTACTGATCAAATTGTGCGAGATATAACAGCGGGCGAACGATTTGGCGATGTCACATCCGAGTTTCTTTCTGCGCGAGAATTTTCGGGCTTCCTCCATTGATTTCGGAAAGTTCAGAAATTGTGTCATTCGTTAATTACCGATTAAATTGCGCGAGAAGTAATAGCGGGCGAATGCCTTTCTGCGCGAGGATTTTGGGGGCACGGTTGTCCGACAAAATCGTGGCCTTGGGATCCCATACGCGTCTCACTCCACTTGGCGTGCGAACGGCGGTTTTCACCGATCAAGTTCAAGGACGAGGGTATCCCGTGCGCTTTCGTCGCCGCGTTCGATGCGCACGGGTCGCACGCCCGCGGCCAAACGTTTTCTAATCCGCGCCCGACGATAATTTCCACATGCGCGCACTAGCTGCGTTTCCTTCGCGACCTCGCGGAGCTGGTTAGGCGCGCTTTTCCCGTGTCGATGTGGCACAGCGTCCCACTTTTCGCTCGTCCCACCGACGACGATACGTCGCTGACAGTGTTTGCTGGTATCTAGATGAAGCCATTCAGATAGTCATCTAAATGAGGGAAATCGAAACATCTCATCTCTATCTAGATGGTAAAGACATACAAGACCTGTTCTTTGTAGCTGCACTACTGAACTAGTGCAATAAGTTAGAGTGAGAAAACGTATATTTATCTCACTTCAATACTGCTGTTCAGCAGTGCAGCTACAAAGAACAGGCCTATAGCATCTTCCTCGTCATTCATCCTCGTCTTAGACTATATGCTATCTTATCTAAGAGATTTAAGATGTTTTCGATACGATATCCGACAATAGAATTTACTTAGAGTTTTTAGTTAGTGACAAAGACCTTCTCTTAAAAAAATATATAATTTATATATATTTATATATATATAATTTATATACCAATATATAATTTATATATATTTATATATATATAATTTATATACCAAGAATGACTTTAAAAATAAGCCTATTTCTAGTAGTAGCGGAGATAAAGATTTCTTTCACGATATTATTATATTATGAAAAGATCGATGTTGTTAGTGTGTAGCCAGTTATTCAGCAGTAACATCGAGACACTTTCCTATTTAGAACCGAAAGTACTTGCATTCTCTGACAAATTTCCCTAATGCGAAAACTTTCTTCAAGTACAATACATCACTGCCTTCATTGGCGCCAGTAGAGCGCCTTTTTAGTAAAGATGTGCGAACTATTCGAATTCGAGTCGAATCAAATGAAATTCGACTCGATTTGAATTCGAATCCCTATGATTCAAATCTGAATAACTCGAAAATTTCGAATCGAAAAGATTTTAAATATGAATCGCTCACATTAGCATTAACGAAATACTATTAAAGACATCCAGCTTTACGAGCATGACTCGAAAAGTTTGCTATATATTAAGATTTTCTTCAAAAATATTAAAAGAAGATAATGGCTTCTAGATAAACTCTCACCGACAACTGTCGAATTGATATGTGTCATTGTACAGCTTTTAAGACTAGAACTATATTCCATACACGTTTACCGACTATATATTATATATCTCTTACCTTAAAATAAATTGATATCACATAATCAGTGTTATCTCTCTTATACCGAAGTCACTATTTTCATGTTGAATTCAATGATTATTAATGAATATTAATGAATATTTAATGATATATTAATGAATATTATGATTATTAATGAATATTTAATGATATATTAATTAAATATTCTTTCAGCGATTTGATTTAAATTCGATTCGATTCGAGTAAAATTTCATCGACTCGATTTGATTTGAATTCGAAATTGAAATCTGAGATTCGATTCAATTCGACATAAAAAATCTTTGATTCGCACATCTCTACTTTTTAGTACAGGATAATAAATAAAAACCATAAACCAATTTAATCCATGTACCCCATAAAAATCATTTATCAAACGATTCTCTCTTTCGCTTTTGAAAAAAAACTCTTGTTTCGAAAAATGAAAACTTATAAATAAAAGTATGAGTGCCGTTTACATATCCTTATTATCTGAGTAACTTTTTTTTATATATTTGTATAAATTGTTTAAAAAGAATCTAAAAAACAATCTAGATAAATTACATAACCATTTCACTTTTTATCAAGGCTGCGTGCGTTTTGGGTGCTTACACACTGCAAGCGTCATTCTATCTTCCTTCCGTATGTAATGAACGATAAAGATAGAATGACGCTTACAGCGCGTGAACGCTCAAAGCGAATGCAGCTCTTGATGCTTTAAAAGCGAAATCATCTCCATCTCATCTAAGATGGATTTACGGATTTTCATCTCGTCTTCATCTAGATAATTTTAAAACCATCTAAGCGCAACACTGGGTCGCTGGATTACTCCCTGTCGACGTGGACGTCATGTCCGTGCGTTATGGCCGACGAAAACGGTGGAGTCGCACGACGACCGTCGACGTGTCAATATGCGGTACCGTAAGGACCGACTCGATTCGTCGTATTGACCGCTCATGACTTTCAACTTCCTGTTGCTGGTACGCGTTCGCTTCCTCTATCCACTCTTTAGCATCCCGTATAACTGTCGAGTCGCCTCCCATACAGCACGAATATCCAAAATCCTAGAGATATCAAATATCATACGGGTTATAAGTATTCTTTCAACTAACAAAAATGTGATCAAACTGCATAATATAAATAATTCCCAAAAGATGAAAAGAGTTAAGTAAATCAGACGATAAGTACATTCATCTTTACAAGATTACCTTTGATATTTACAAGATTTGTTCAACTAGAAGAAATCATTACAACAGGTTCCTCAAGATTGTTGAGTAAGTTACAATACGCAGAGTTTGGATGTACCACTCAGTGGCTATCGACAGATCTGGCTCGCTCGATAAATTCTCGTCATGGAGAAACATAAATGAGCAAGCTTCATCACTTGAAGCTTAATATAATATGTAAGCGTATGTGTATTGCTTGAGACTACCTGGGACTTGACTGTATAGGACCGCCCTTTTTGAAGTCGTTTTCTGGCTTCTGCCACCTTCAGTTGTGAACTATTATGTCTTTTATTCTTAAGTTGAAGTTGTTAATTATCTTTCAGATAATAAACAGAATAAACGCCGTTTAAATTAACGGTATATCATGGGTACATATCACATAGAGAAAGATTTTAATGAAATATTACATTATTCAAGGGAGAAAAGTTGAGTTACTCATTGATATACTTGACAGCTCATTTAGTTATCGTTACTTTTCGGAATAGTCAAACCAATACCGTGGTTAAACAATTTTATTGAATGCTTAGCTCGTTTGATATAAGAGATTACAAGAACATCAAAAGTGTGTTGGAAGAATTAAGACAATTAATTCATCATATACAATCCACAAATTAAGTTTGCTCAACTCGATTCTAGTTCTAATCAATGTTTTATAATGTAATAACAAGTTATAACAGGTAAGAACCTAGAAAACTAATATACGGTTTCTTTGAATGGATAAACGAACAGGAGAGAATACGAACATTTCAATAATGATAATTTTTGATGATTAATTTGATGATTTCTGATAACAAAAGGGTTGGGAGCGTTTGAAAATAAAAATAAATTTAATGGAAAGAATAACTTTGCTGGAAAAATAAATGCAGGGGAGAGAAAAAAGATCGTTCTGTCCTTCTGTTAGTTTCTTCAAATATCTTTCCGAGTAAGTAAAATAAAAAGAGAGAAACCGACATAATAATGATGTATGATTCTAAAATCGCAGACGATCAGTTGGATCTGCTGGCTTCTTGCCGTCTGCATCTGCCTTTCCGACGCGAAAAGTAAGATCAGGAGACCTTTGCCGCCGTCGTACGCGCTCGTTCTGAAGAAACCACGGCCCATTAGTCACAGAATATCCATGGGCAATACCATTCATATTGGCGGTAATTTCCCTCAGAGAGTACCCTACAAGCAACAATTACAGGTCAATTACAGGTGAAGCCTCAATGACTGAATATTTTCATTCGCTTTACGTCATCTAACATTACATGAAGATATGACGAATCTCATTTCCCATTTCAGAGTTCGTCGGCCAGTGTACAATGTCTTGCCGATTGGCTGGAAGAACCAAGTCCCGATACGCGCGACTTTGAACAATCGCGCGGTGCTGCCGCAACGCGCTCCCGTCAAGGAGTTTCATTCTGTGAACAAGATGCCGGAATACAGTCCGGAATATAGACCGGAGCTGGTGGTCTTGCCTGCCACTCATCGAGGAAGCATCGATGACGATAAAGGGCCCATCCACACGATTCCAGCACCGAACTTAAGCCCGGCCGATAAGCCTTACAACTCGGCGAACGACCTGAAAGACATCGCGGATCGCCGTCCGTACTCGAGTGATCTTAATTATCACGCCACTGCGCAAAGTAAAGTTTACGCTTCTCTTGCATTAAATTAGATTTGTTGAACATGAGATCAAGTATTTCTCCTTTCGCAGGGTTGGAAATGGCTAATTACCTTTTTAAATTAATTGTCGTGTTTAACTGACATTTAATATGAGCCAATTCGATAGAAGGCCATTTAATTAAAGATTGATTTCAACAAAATCAATTGAAAACCGTTTGATTGACGATTGACTTCAACGAATTCAATTAAAGACCGTTCAATTGACAATTGATGTGAGAGAAGAAAATCAAAGATTGTTCAATTAATAACTGAATTAGATAAATTTAATTAAAAGCCGCTTATTTGATGTTTAATATGAGCAAAATTAAAGGAAAAGAAGAGAGAAAACTGCGTGATGTCAGTATCCAACATCACCTTAATTGAATGATCTTCGATTTTCTTCACTCATATCAATCGTCAATTGAGCGGTATTCAATTGAATTCGTTGAAATCAATCGTCAGCTAAACATTTTTCCAACAAATTTGCTTGAATCAATCATCAATTAGTTAGACTGAAATATATTTGTTGAAGTTGAATATTAAAATGAGAAAAATTTAATTGATATTTTTACAATTCTGTTGAGCAATGATATTCTTGCCAATTAGCATAAATGTCTAGGAGCTGTATTAATAGTCGTTACTTGAAATTTGCCTCAAGTAGGATTTGAATTTAAAGTTAGTCGTAAATAATACAACTGAACTCTGACTACAAATGTAGTGTCACGTGTATTATATGATTCAAGTAAAAAACTTAAATCTAACTTTAAATTCCGATATGAATATCTCATGTAGGACAAATTTCGAGTAATGATTATTAATGTAAAACTTAAAGACGTTTTAGGTCTATATTAATAATCGTTACTTGAAACTTGTCTTAAGCGAGATATGCAGATCTGAATTTAAAGTTAGACATAAGCTTTTTAGTTGAATTATATATTTAAATATAATGTCACAAATATTGTATGATTCAAATAAGAAACTCGGACATAATTTAAAATTCAAATCTAAGTATCTCACTTGAGACAAGTTTCAAGTAACGACTATTAATACAGACTTTAGATACGTTTGAAAAATATTTTACTTGTAGAAATTTCTTAAATATATTTTAGACATTTCTGCTGACTGGACACTGTTACACATTACTTTTTTCAATAAGGATTTAATGACGGTGTTATCTTTCTTCGTTAATAACAGTAACAATTAAACGAATATAATTGTTACTTTTATTATTATTTTGTACATGCAAAATACATATATCACTTGGATTGACCACAGCAAATCGTAAAGAAAAGATCGTCAAAACTTAGTAAAATAATAGAAATTATAACGACTCATTACTTCTTGAGAAATGATAAAGATAACGTATTACCTTTACAGTGAATAATACTCTAATATTTCAATTTTTTAATTTTTCAACGAACAACGAATAACAATAGTGACTTGCTCTTAAAAAGTAACTTTCCCAATCCTGTCTGTATTCTCTTTCTTATTTTCGATATGAGAAAGAGAAGCGAGATGATCGCTCGCGAGCTGGCTCAATAGCTGGATTCACGAGAAAATACAACTGAACTCTGCAATTTTCGCACAGATTCCAACATCGTGACCAACGTCGGATTAGCCGCGATCGGCAACGGTCTGTCGGCGCAGAAAACAGCGACGAATCCGAGCACACCACAGCATCAGTACGAAGTTACGGAGAGCAACGACGCGACGGTGCTGAAAGATCACCAAGTCGCCGTGCAATCGGCGACCATTCAGCCTCAGGATCTCGACGTAACCAGACTCTACTCGACCATAGTCAATCCTCATCCGCAGTCCAACGAACTGTTTGTGAATCACCCGGTTAACGGGCCAAGTGTGATGCAGTTCGGCCAGTCGAGCGCGCCGATGCAGACGAATCTTCATAGTTCCCTGCACGTCGGCTTTCCCGCCACTGCCGTTCAGCCGTACACCGTGACACAGCAAATCCCCGAACTGCACGTGGGCCATCCGGCACCGGCTGGACCACCGTTGTCGGCCACGCAACTCTATGATCTGCTGAACAATTTCCCGCACAAACTTACAGAACAATATACACCAGGTAATGAACCTATGAGGACACCCCAGATAGCACAGAGAATTGAAAAAAAATTCAGTCGTATGTCACCAATTCTGAGAGTTTATTTTCAGATACAAAAAGAATTCTGCAGAGTTCAGTTCAGTGAAAAGAATTCTTTTTGCATCTGTAAAAATGAACTCAGAATTAGTGACATACGATTAAATTCTTTTTTAATTCTCTGTGCTATCTGGGACACTTGTATGCATCAGGATTGTGAGTCGATTAATTAATTACGATTAATCGCTAATAACAATTAATCTGAGCTAATTCAATTGGAGATCGTTTAACTGAGTTCAACAAATTCGGACGAAGGTCGTCCGATTGACAATTGATTTCAATAATTTCAAAGACCGTTTAATTGATCATTCATTTTGCTCAAGTCAATCGTCAATTAATTGAATTAAACGTATTTGTACAAAATAATTATTAAATTGAGAAAAATTTAATTGATGTTTTTACAACTCTCCAGTAAATATCGACTAACAGTAACATTAATATAATTTTCCACCCAATAATATAACTGTTACATAACACACGTTATATTATATTGACATTGTTGAGTGAGAAACATCCCAGTAAGCAAGAAATCATTAATACAACGTTGCTACAATGATATTGAAGAATCTGTAATATTGTCAAATATGTAGTGTTTAATATTGTATCAAACATCATTATGAACATACTTTGACTACGATTTGGAAGTTTCAATAATGTTGAAATAAGGTTGCTATAACATTTTAATCGGCAGAAATATTTTAAAGATGTTGCATTGATCTCAAATAAATGTTAAAGTAACATTTGAAAAATATATTTTTTGTAATGTTTTTAAAATGTTTAAACAACATTCAGAAAAATCATCACAAAATAACATGTGAAAAATATAAATGCAATATTATTAAAAAATATGCAAACAATGCACATGAAGTCAACGTTTCTAAACGTTAATTTAATGTTCTTTGCTTACTGGGATTGACATTATGTTATTGACAGTTGATTTATTGGGTCTGATATGCACAGGACGATTGTGAGAAAGAAATCGCGATAATTTTAGATCGTATGAACCAGAGTCACTAAGTTATTGTTTTATTGTGCTTTAGAATGCCGGTTTGACTTTTAGAAATTTGTAAACCCGGAATTGATCACTGTAGGATCAATTTGTCACGCTTAATTCCAGTAACTAATCGCATTTTCCTCCTCGATAAGCTCAACAATGAAGTACTGATACTCCAAAGAAATTATACCGTTGAAATTTTCTCATCACTAGATCAGCAGCACATTCTTCAGCAACAACTTGACCAAATTCTTCAACCAGACACGATAACGAGCTTCTCCCAACCGCAGATGCATTCTTTCAATTATGACGAACAAGCTAACCAACAACAACAAGCTAACCAACTGCAACAACAGCAGCAGCAGCAACAACAAATCTTGCTCGATCAAGATTATGCCACGGGGAGTGTGACAGCAGATTACAATCTCGATCCGGAGTCCTCGATAGACGCGCGTAAGCAGAACAACAATTTGCGCGCGAAAGAAGAATTGACATATCCTGTAGACGGAGTGGAGCAATCAGAGAATAACATTGAGTACGAAGGAGCGAGCCATCAAAGAAGCCCGACGCCGTACTCGAAGAGGACGGGTAACGTTGGCGGTGCGATAGCAACGAAATTTTACACGACGCTTCCCAACAGAGAAGCCGCCGAGAAACTAGCTGCGTTAGCCGCCGCGGGCAATGTTAACAGTCGTCTCATAGGCCAGCTGCGAAAGCAGCAGCAAGAAAATGTGCAGAGCAACGAGTCAATGCCGTCTAATCACAAGAACGACGACAACGCGAGCCAACGGACGCGAACCGACGGCGATCAGCTGCAAAAATACGATCAATACAAGTACCATAGGAATCAACAGCAACGTCGTAAGCCAAGTTACAAAGTGCAGAACGACGAGAAGTTACCTCTGCAAATAACGGTACCCGAAGAGGACGAGTACGTGGTTGACGATCAGCTGAGTGATATAAAGAAAGACAACGTAGACATGGAGTACGAGTATGAGGGTGAAGACGGGGAAGTCGAGGAGTCGCAGGAATCCGCCGCTTCGTTCGACGGAGAGATCACACCCCAGGACAATGATCCTCACGCTGAATTTGGCAGCCGCCTGCGATCAAAGACTAGAGAATGAGACTGTTAACGTGCGTGTGTGCAACGGTAGACAATAAAACGTTGGACATGCATTATCCCGAAAAATTGAAATCTCGAAATTTAGCAATTGGAACAATTTCCCAGAAAGTCATGTCGACATCCGAATGCCAAGACAATATTTGTTATTTGTTAATATATTGTTATTATTATACTGAAATGTTCCTGAAATATACAGTTGTTTCGAGGAGAAACTGTTTCTATCTCAGAAACAATATACACAAGTGTATTGATATCTGCCCATTTGTGGTACATACATTCTCTTATTCTACTTAAATGAATAGATATTAATACAGTCGGATGTGTATGTAACAAGATTTCAATATTTCGGCAAAATTATATTTTAAACAATTGTTTCGATATTCGAATTTCGATGTTGTGTCTGTTGTCTTGAGGAAATTGTCTACTTTTAAAATTTTGGTACATGTTTTCGGTATAATGCATATCCATTAATAAAATAATCGACGACTGCCAGAGAGAAAGACAGGTAGAATATATCGCAATATTATTTATACAATGTTATTTATTTAGTAGACGCTAATGTATTTATTCGACATGTTGATAAAGGTCAAGCGTTGCAAATCGTTGTTCTCATCTATAGAATTTCACTTTCTTTATTTCAAACATTCGCACATGATCGATTACTATATTGTATGTACAATAGTTATCATATCACGGTAAGTTATTAGTAATTTGAACACGCGAACCTCCTCACGTTTAAGGTTCTTTATACCTCGCCGCGGCCATGTTGAATTTATGACGTCGAAGCGAAGGACAACATATTGACGAATAGTTATATAATAAATGGTGAAATGAGATATGCAGACAAAACAGACTCATTTCATCATTTCACATGATCATTGATAAGAGAAAGAGATATTTTTCGGACAATTTCACAATTGTGCTCAAACAATCTCAAATGCTCTTTCGTCTATATTTATTTTTATTCAGAAATGACACGTAACTTTCGTTAGCATGTCATTCCTCACTTCTGGCGTCACAAATCCGACATGGCCGGTGAGGTACTGGGAGCCTTAAATATAAATTATGGTGTATCGGTTCGTCAAGCTCCGGCGTTAATTACCTTTTATCACCTAAAAAATTTAGCAGTCTGAATTTGGGCACCATATCAACAAATGCACGTAATAAAGACTTCTATAAAATTGAGAATAACTCAATAACGCCATTTGTGGGATATTAGTACAAAAACAAAAGCAAAAATTATCGTACTTTATCGTATCTTGCATCTGTGTTCAAATTCAGACACAAGATATGATTAAAATGCGTAACGGAACTTCAGAAGCACAAGTCACACGCGTTATGAAAAGAATTTATACATAAGTATGTACACAGTTCTTCTATATTTCATTTGTACATTCAAAAAATTTCATCACATGTAGAAGAAAGTATCATTATAGATTACAAAAAAAAGGGTATAAAAGCCAGTCTAGATAACAACTTAGTTGCAAAATTGAGAAGATTTGTATAAAAACTTTACATCGCGTGTGTCTATTTCCAGTTCCATTTCCGCAGCAATTGGAACTATTTTACGATTTCGCAATAACTTATGAAAAAAAAATTCTTTGATGCAAATTTATATACACTGTTTTCGCGTTGTTCCGGCACCTGCGACTTGGTTCTGATGTTTAATTACACATTTAGATTCTACACTGTATAGAGCAACTTACGTCGAATTTCTATCAAGATCCGCGCAAGAATGTTGCTTAGATTACATAGGAAAATCAAAGAGAAAACGCTACTACAAGCGATCCATGAACCACGGTCTACCATCGTTTGTAAACCGTTTCGTTAAAATATCGCAACCTGTTTCGGTTACCAAGAGCGTATGCTCAAATTGTGCCGACCACTGACCGTCTGATGTAACAGCGGTCCAATTATCGGGCCATGTTTCGTCTTTCCACGTTCCTTGAGAAATCATTGGCTCGATCGTGAAGCAGTGTCCGGGTTTCATAACGCCCATTGTTTTGTTTTCTAAAAAAATTTTATTATCGCTAGATATTTATTATTTATTTATCTACTTTTAATTTTATTTTTACTAGATATTTATTATTTATCTACTTATTTTGTAAATCTTCTATCAAAAGAAAATATTTTATTATAATCAATTAAATCGTCAGAACTCTTAGATGTACAATTAAGTATACAGTTTGATTTCTCTTAATTATGCGGTTTGATACAATTTGATGGAGAGAATACAGTTTCCCACTCAAATTATCCCGAGAAAAGTACTTACTGGCATAATGCGGTACATTCGGCGCGGTGTGAAATAAACGGTGAATTCCGTGGCCGCAGTAGCTGCGTACCACACTGAATCCATGTGCCTGTGCATGTTTCTGAATAACGTTACCGATCTCTCTGTACTTTCTACCAGGCTTCACGATGTCGATAGCTTTCGACAAACATTCATATGTTACCTCTACTAACTTCTTCACTTCGGGCTTCACGTTACCCACTAAGAACGTTTCATTTAAATCTCCATGAAAACCATTATGGTATACCGTGACATCAACTAAATAGAAACGATAATTAAGATATGCACTTCGTAAAGCTGCGATAAAAATCTCTGACGAATACCATACCATTACAGATGTCGCCGTCTTGAAGCGGTCGAGTATCGGGTATACCATGGCAAATCACTTCATTGACAGAAGTGCAGCAACTAGCGGGAAACTGATAATAGTTCAATGGCGATGGGTAACAGTCTCTCTCAATGCAAGCCTCATGCACTATTCTATCGATTTCAGCTGTTGTAACTCCAACGTCGCATGTCTTCGCGGCTTCATCCAGTACTTCTCGGCCAAGCTACGCAAATTAATCTAGATTTAACTCGGGAGCAAAATGAAGATTATGACACAGAAGATCAGGTGATGCAAATTTTAAAACTATGTCTACGCTGATTGTTTATGTATTGTCTACGTGACGTATACATGCGTTTTCTTTATGTAGACAATGGAAACTATATAGAACATTGTATATTATATTAAAATATACAGAGTAACTAAATTATGAACAGTTACCATGTTTGTTTTGAGTAATAATTATAAATGTAATAACATAATTAAATAACATAATAACAATAAAATAATTCAAAAATAACAAATTATATAAAACTTTTAATTTATTATAACAGATTGATAAACTTAATTCTGAAGGTAAAAATATAACCACAGAATTCTATGAAGTTAAACTTGTTTAGGGAACAACATTTATAAATTTACATCAGGATTCTCTATAAATGATTAATTAAAAATATAAATAAGTTTTAAATAAAATCTGTAATAAAAATTAAATTTTTTAGTAAAAATTTAAATATAAATCTAAAGATTTTTAAGCAAAAATATAAACTTTCCTTAATTAACCTTTGAGCAAATCCTTTAAATGACATTCATCACAAATTTTTTGAAATTTTTATTTCATTATGTGATCAATGATCATAGATTTAGCCCTAAAAAAATGGAAATGTAACCAAAGAATTCTATAAATTCTAATTTGTTTAAAAAACATTTGTAAATTTATATTGGGATTCAAAAAAATTCTAAAAAATTTAAATAAATATTAAATAAAATTTCCAATACAAAACTAAATAAACCTCAAATAAAAAGATAAATATTTAAAGATTCTTAAATAAAAAAATATAAAATTTCTTAATCTTTTAGTGAATTCTTTAAATGACATCTATAAATTACTCATTGTCTACAGGATCATTGTCTAAATGATATCTCACATATATAGTTTACATATATTGTCTACACAAAAATGCAGAATATCATAATTTATATATAAGTGCCAAAACAAAGAAAGATACAAGGCTAGTTTTTTTTTTAAGAACTTTTTGAATTGCTGTAGACTGCAATAAGTATATATTGTTTCATTCTAATTTATTGCATAGATGTATTCATAAAGTTCTTTGAAAAAGAATAGGCCTGATATAAATGTATTTATCACATGTGTTTGCGATATAAGTGTGTTTACAATTGATATCTAAGAAGTATCACATACCTTGCAAGCAACTCTCATGCCTTCAATCTCTTCATCATCAAGAATCTTTATCTGTCCTGAACCTCTCACAGCATGTTCACTAAGTGGAATTCCAGCTGAGTGTGAAGCATAGTCTGGCCGATTGATGCGCTCAGGAACTTCTCTACGTTCTTCTTTCTCATATGGTCGCAATTTTCCAGTGTAATTGTAACCCGGCCAAGGATTAAATGTATTGGAGACTTTATTGCCATTTTCTCCCTCTGATTACAAACAGAATTATGGATAATTTTAACAACTTATAAGAAATTAATGAAACAATACATGTTGGATACTTACTTGCTAATTGATGAATAACTTTATGCGTCTTCCAGCTTCCTTTGAAACAATCCTAGAATTAAATGATGCTGTATCAGTTGATTAATCTCGTGATAAGTAGGGGATACGTATAACGTATTGACAAAATATATTTGAATATTATCGAAAACTAAGACAAAAGCTTTGGCTACATTGCTAATCTGCGGCATTCAACACGCGTTATGAACGTTAACAACGAGACAAAACTATTAAATGGAAAATAGTGAAGTAAAAAACTTAACCTAAAAGTACAAGTAACGTGTCTCACTTGACTGCAGAAATATGAACCCTGAATGCCGATCTTCCGGCAAGTCGGACACTGCAGGCTCGCGATGGCGTTGCAGCCGGGTGTCTCGCACATTCCGAACGTCGATGACATTGTCAATTAAATCTTCCTATTAGTCGAGCAAAGTGAGCGAGAAGTTGTCAGGCTATAAGACGAGGTAATTCGAGACGATCTTGTACTGTTTTATCGGTAGGCAGCTGCGCGAGAGCGAGCGAGCGAGAAAGAAAAAGAGAGAAAGGGAGGAAGGAGAAAGAGAAAGAGAGAGACTTAAAAGCAGGGTTGGGCGTTTACGCACGAATTATAGGTCTGCGGCTTTATTCCCGAAAAATATCGCATATGATGTTTCTATGAAAAGCTATAGTTTATGTTATGTATATTGTAGCTTTTCATTGAAATATCGTATATATTTTAATAAAAAATAGTATACATAACATGAACTATAGAAATATCGTACAGTAATATTTTTAAAAAATACAGCCCCTCTACGATTTTATTCGCGAAAAATATCGCGTACGATATTTCTATGAAACGTTGTAGTTCATGTCACGTATACTATAGCTTTTCATCGAAATACCGTATGCGATATTTTTCAAGAATACGGTCCTTGGGCGTCTATTGTGTATTAATATAACTAAAATTACAAAAGTGGACGAATTTACTAAAAGATTCACAATTTTATTAGTCAATCTTTAGAATCGATTCCCTGGGTCCTTATTCTTGAAATAGTTGCGTATACGTAAGTTTTACTGCGCAGATTTAATCATATCATAAAATAGTTGCGCAAGGAAAATTACGCAAAAATTTCAAGAATATGGGCCCTGTTCATTTTCGAAAAACTTCTGCACTAGTGCGATAAGTTAGAGTGAAATAAGTTTACTTATTCTTTCACTCTAACTTATTGCACTAGTGTGCACTAGTTCAGAAGTTCTTCAAAACCGAACAGACCTATGTATGTAGATTAGGGCTGCGTTCGGAAACGTCACTCGAGTTACCCGTTGCGTTGGAGTGAGCAAGATATAATAGTGAGATAAAAAGAGAGGGAAAGTACTTGAGTGACGTTTCCAAACGCAGCGTAGAGGTTTGTTCGTTTTTCAAAGAACTTCTAAACTAGTGCACACTAGTGCAATAAGTTAGAGTAAAAGAAAGTATACTTGGATGCTTCCGAAATATTCAGGGTTGGGTCAAGTGAGTTAGTTCCACTATAGTGTCCGTTACATATACTATAGTGGAACTAACTCAACTCGATCAAACTCTGGGTATTTCGGAAGCATTTCTTTTGTTTCACCCTAACTTATTGCACTAATACTGAAATTCTTCGAAAACAAATGTATCTAATGAGTAATCTAAGAATGTCGTCGAAAAAATATATATGGCTAATATATATATATATATATATATATATGGCTCACTGAAAAGTTAATTAAGAAAAGTTAATATTTTTTAATTCAATCTTTAGTATCTTAATATAAATTTGTAAACATTGCTTTCTGAATAAGTCAATTCTCTGATTACATTCTTATTTTTAGATTTAAGTTGACTAGTTTGTTATATAATAAAATGAAAATTTTACGTAATTTGTTGCATGTTTTAAGCATTACATTTAATACTCTTAGGGCCGATTGTTCTAACTTCTTGGTAAATTACCTGACAGTTAAATTATGTATCTGTCTCTGTCTAATTTGAAGAAAAAAATGAAAACATATGATCCCAGATAGCATAGAAAATTCAAAAAGAATTCAGTTGTATGTCACCAATTTTGAGTCCATTTTCAGATGCAGAAAGAAATCTTCAAAGTTCAGTTCAGTGAAAAGAATTCTTTTTGCATCTAAAAATGAACTCAGAATTGGTAACATCCCATATAGTACAAGATTTAAAAGATGTCCCAAAGACATTCAGAGGATTGCTAAAGGTCCGCATAAGTCCACAGAATATCCTAAAAATATTCCGAGGACTTCTAAATGTCCACACAAGTCCCCAAGATATCCCTTCAAAGATACGACTGAATTCTTTTTGAATTCTATGTTTATCTGAGATTTAACTGTTAGATAGCTTGCCAAGAAGTTGGAACAATTGACTCACAATCTTGAACTTCAACTTCAATTTTGGCTCCAGGCTTCTCTTGGAATTCCGTCCCATCGCCAATACACCAATTCCCAATCTTGAAATGTACGGGTCGCGAAGCTCGAAAGAGCGAGAGCCAGCGACTTATCGATCATGCGACGCGATAAAGTAGGCCTTTACAATCGATAGCGGAACTTTCGAGATTCGAGAGGTGATGCAAGATGGCGCAGGGTGTCGCGCCATGGTCGCAGCTCCGGTGCTGTCGGTGGTAAGGGATCAGTGAAAAATGGCTGGTGCCAGCGACTGGTTTAGCATCGGTAGCACGGTGGTATGTAAGACATGTCACGAGCAAGAAATCGAGGGCGAGGTGTTGGCCTTCGATCCACAGACAAAAATGCTGATACTCAGTATCCTTTTCGACGGGCTCCGCGGCGACGTCGACCCGGTCCGACGGCGGCCCCGCGCGCGCACTGTGTGCGTGCGCTCCGCCGTGTACCAGACGCAGTGTAAATAAGAGCGTCGTGGCCGCGACGGGCGTCGCACGGCGCGCACCACGTCGCGACGCGGCCCCGCGTCACGAGTGCCGCGTCCGCGTCCGTCGTGATCTTTCCGACGCGAGTTGTGCCCGCGCGAGTCAGGTTAAGTTTCGTCATCCACAGTTCAGGCATGCCGAACGCTCGCCTCGCTGTGTGCGCCCGTCCCGTTGCTCGCCGATCATCCCACCGGGGATGATTGCCATCGTGGATCACGTCGTGTTGCACGGGGAACTCACGTGGTGCGCGACACTCGACGCCGTACGACGCGCGCGATGCCTCCCGGGAACCGCGGCAGCCGCGGACACTCAGCGTCGCGATACCGCGTGCTCGATTCTGTGCGTATGTATCGGTTCATCTCGCTTTGCTTCCCATCGACAGTGAGAGTACAAATAGAGATGAATAGATAAATGGGTGAATAAATGTACACGCGCGCAGCCTTCGTTATCAGGCCTCGCTGAAGATTGAAAGTATTTTACGTGCAACTCGTCGCCTGGTAGATAATGGAAATAGAGTTACTGGATATTCAGATCTCCGTTGGACAGTTCAGATTTCATTATAATCAGTTGTGATCAGCTGATATTAAAAAGATATCCTGATTATTAAATATTTCAACCTAAAATATCAAAAATATCATTTCATAACATATATTCTGTAACATATATATGTATTTTTTATTTCTTCCAACTTAATTCAACATTTGAACTTCTAAATTGGTATTGTTCTCATTATGTGGAGAACTATTTTGTAATACATTCTTTTGTTTGTCGTTTTGTTGGTTACAATTATTATTAACCTGTGATTGTTAGATGTTTTGGTGTGGTAAGTCTGTCGATACATTATTATATTAACACATCACATTATTATTATATTCTTACGAAATATTTTTATAAATTATATTTCCCCAATTCAAAGATTTTTTTTAAATTTTCCAGTCTACCTAAATTGACAAATAAATAAGTAAATAAATATGTAGTCCAAAATCGTTTTGAGTGCACCTGATTCGGTTTATACAACTTCATTTCGTAGAAACGTTCTGCGTGACTTGCGTTTTTTCACTCGCTTGCATTGTTCCTGTCTCGCGATATCGTATCGGTATAATATCGATCACTGTCGATCCATTTGTCGTGTCTTCAAAGATTGTTTTCCTTAGCACCGACTTCTCAGAATGTCCATCGACGAGTGGTAGACCCTCGTTAAATGATGTACATGTAGTAAATTTATCTCTCGTATCCAACGTTCAAGTGATACGAGAAGTTAGCGCAACTACGAACGAACCACCACAGAGCCTTAATCTGCAAAGGCTAAACACAAGAGTCCGCAACCAGATCGAGGAGAAGAAGAGGCTGGTTATGGCTCTGCAGGCCGGAGTATCTCCAGAGGGACAGAAATTATTTATCGCTATTTCAAAGACTATTCAAGATATTACGTGGAACGGAGCGAATATCGTTGTATTTGATAACGTCACCATCAGACCGCCGTACAAGGTTGACAACGTTCACGGGAACACGGAGTCTGGAGCGTATAGACATGTAAAAAAAGTGGTATGTAAAGTGCAGCGAACATCTGCTTTTGTCTTTTGAGTATTTGCCCTGTAGTGTCGTCCAACAGCCAAGAGTTGCAAAGATCAAGAACATATATTCTCGTGTGACAATCATAGACATTTTTGTGCAACATGTCTCATTGTAGAAGCATTTCTTTATCTGTGCGGGAATCTTTCTTTTTATTCACTTGTATTCATTGTAATTTGATTTAGATAAAGTTCTTGTTGTCTGTTATAACAAGATGATACATATATCAAGTATATTATAAAAATATGTAGAGAGTAGTATGTAATATAATAATATAATGTAATAATATATCAGATACATAATCAAACATGTGAGTACTTGATGGCTTTAAATCAACGATTGAACCAAAAGGATTAAAGGACAACAGTTGTGTATGTTGCTTAATCCACTTAGTAGAGAAATGGATTTTTTATGAGTAAGCGATACTTTTGTTTGCCAGTAAAGTATAATTTTAAATAATACTAATAATTCAGGTAGTGGACAGATTTTGAATAATACTAATTATTCAGGTAGTGGACAGATTTATTGTTTTAATATTTTATCTATAAAGTGTAGGAAATTAAACAATTTATAATTTTTGTTCTATTGCCCATTTAATTTGATTTGCTATTATAGAAGTATTTTTATCTGCACAGGAATTTTCATTCATCATAATTCAATTTAGATCAAGTTTCTTGAAAAGAAATGCATATCTAACATGAAATTAAATTATCTACTACCATCGACATATATATAAATGTATAACATATATATCAAATATATAATAATATATTATAAAACACATAGAGGTAGAACATAATATAATAATATAACACATAATAATATAATATCAGATACATAATCAGACATGTGTGAGTGCTTGCTGGCTTTTGACTTTAAATCAACGATCGAACCAAAAAGATTAACGGACAACAGTTATGTCAGTGTGTGTATTTCTTAATTCATTTAGTAGAAAAATGGATTCTTTATGAGTAAGCAATACTTTTATTTGCTAGTAAAATATGATTTTATATAATAATTATTATCCAGGTAACACAGAGATATTTATTGTTTTAGTATCTTAAGTGTAGGAAATTAAGCAATTTCTAATTTTATTTTTGTTCTCTTGCTTATTTATTTGCTAAGTTGACACAATGTATAACAGTATATTTGATGCATTTAGTTGTGGCAAGGATTGCTTCTTAGATCTATCTTGCATTCATACATTCCATCTGTTCATTGTTTGCAGGTTGAGAAACACATTAAAGATACAGCGCAAGCTCAACAGCAACGGGAATTACAACAGCAGACGCAAAAGGGAGCTGAACTACAATAAAGGTCCAAAAAGGCACTACACTACATGGAGGTCGTTAAGACACATTCAGGAAGCTCCATTTGACAAGAAATAGGAAGGAGAAGTGAACGAGGCACCGAACAGAAGACCGTGGCAGCGCAATTAGGCAAGCGCGCCTATAGCAAAAAGAATCAGATATCTTCGAACGAACCCTCTTCAGCTGCTTGTTTGTATAAAAAAAAGAATGAAGAAGAAGACAGCTATAAAGTGCAAATTTAAACACCGAAATTTCACATTCTGATCCGAGTATTGTTAATAGTATCGCATGTGCAGCATTTTATAAAATACAGTCGGACGTACAATTCGTAATTCTTAGTCGCCAGCCTAGAAATTTAACTGCGTAAGTTCACGAAAAGCGAGCGGCAGTCGACTGATTCGAGTGAACAACCGAATTTGTTACATATAGCGCTGATATTATGTCTGCGTGCGTGACACATCAACGCGGAATGTGCCGTAATTTTCAGTTGAAATAAGTTTTAACAGCGTGATTTAAAATCGATTTTCAAAACTTAAGCCCGTATGAAACGGCTCGAGCTTTTACGTGTAGCGTCTGTGTGCGAAGACACGTTAAGGCCAAATCACACTAGCAATTGATAATTGACGATTGAAGATTGGAACTTGACCAATTGGAACAAAGCAAGCCAAGGCTGAAGCTCGTTGATTCGTTAAAATCTAATCTTCAATCGTCAATCGCCAATCGTTAGTGTGATTTAACCTTTAGGACGCGTCGCGAAATTGGAATGAGACGCGCGCAGTTGTCGATACCGCCAGAATAGATCGAGAACAAACAAAGTGAGACGGAGTGAAGTTAGGCTCATATTAATAGTCTACTGGAAATTTGCCTTACATGAAATACTCGGATTTAAATTTACAGCTTTGAATTTTTCAATTAAATCGCACGAGGTATGTCACATTGTATTTGTGATTGAATTGAAAAAGTCGTATTTAATTTTAAATTCAAATATATTTCACTCAAAACTTGTCTCAAGTAAGATACTTATGTCTATATTAATAGTTGTCTCTTGAAATTTGTGTAACTGAATATCTCAGATGAAATATTCAGTTTTTCACTCAGAGTTAGATCAAAATTTTTCAATTATATGATATAAAATAAAAGTACCAATTCCCGGACACATAATCCTGGAGATTTTTGTTAGCTTAGTCTTTAAATATGAACATTTAAACTTTCAAAATTATATTAAAAATTTAAATATTATATCATAAAAGACCAAAATAATGAGAATGTTTAGAGTTAGGAACATGTCCGGATATTAATACTTTTATCTTTTGTGACATCTGTAATCACGATTCAGCTGAAAAAAACTCATCTGACTTTGAATTTAGATCTGAATATCTTACTTGAGGCAAATCTTAAGTAACAGTTATTAACATAAATCTATAATTTTAATTCAGAGTTAGATCAATTTTTATTGTTAAATCCCGACTAGAGGTGCAAATATCACGTATATCGTATAACTTAATTGAAAAACCTGGATTTAGCTCCGGAAAAAATCGGAGTATCTCAAGTTTTAGGTGACAGCTATTAATATGTGTCTTAAACCAAAACACCAAATAACACCAAATTTATATTCTGAATTACAAAGTTTTGTAATTCGGCCGATTGTAAGATCACATCCTATCCTGTTTTGTTTTGTTGTATGTACCTAGGTAGCAGACTTACGTAAGAATGACGTCCAAATCTGGCCAGTTCATGATCAAAAATGACCAAAAATGTCCTGAAAATGTCGTCAAAATGACGGTCTAATGTCACAGATCGATGACGACATTTTAAGACGACTTAATGACGTTTTAATGACATCTCTAAATGTCAATAATACGTCATTAAGACGTTGTCATTAAGACGTCACAAAAAAAAACGTCTTAAAGACGTCATTATTTAGTCACTTAACCAACTTGGTCAATCGACCACTTATGACCAGTTTTTTACATCATTTTGACGTGAGTCTGCTATTTGGGAACGTTGTAATTCGAGCGAAGAATAGATTTCTTTTAACGCATCACACAATTCGTAATATCTTATCGACAAGTGTGTTTCTTATCCTAGTTTCGCGAACGAAGACTAGTTTTACGATCGACTCGAACAATTGCGGCGATCCCCATTCCGAAACTCGCTTATTTCGGATTCACAAGCGACTCCGCGTTACATTCAATACGGCACAGCAAATTCTTTTCAGAAATTAACTGATAACAAAGAATCGAACACTATGCGATCTATAATTTTATGCATGAGGCACGAGGCGCCTTCAGCCACGTGCGATTAATGCTGCGCTTTCTGCTGCCCCTTGCGCATGCCGAGCCGTAAAAGTTTAATTTAAGAAAGACGGGAACCTCGACTCGCGCAAGGACGAGCGCCGCTTTAATCGCAATTTGCGAGAGAAAAAGATCTTTCTCGTTCTATTGAGTCTAGAAGGTCTTTTAGATTTCAAATCTCGAGTATTTTGAATCTAGAATATTTTCGTTTAATAGAATATCAAAGATCGTATTCTTTGCATCGATGACATCCTTTTTCTACCCGTCGGTCCGAGAACAACATAGCAATCGTTCGACTAACACAGCGTGCTTACTCGAACGATACTTCACAATACAGACCAATAGGAATCGTCCAAATCGGAGAAGAAAGGAGCCTCCTCTGAATCGATGCGCAGATCGTTCCTTTCTTCGAGAAGATATCAAAGATTAGTCGGTGTAAGATGTTGATAATGGAATCGGCATTGTGCCTTTGCCATACAGATGAGACCGCGGTACTCGTGGTGTGCTTCTATGATTCCTTATTAACTTTTCCTTCTTCTTTTTCATGTATACCCAGTGGCACACACTGGGATAGATGAAGTCCGAGGAAACCCTGGTCACACGCCCTCGTGGTGCCGTCGTTCTCGCAGAAAGAACCGAATTCGTCTCGTGCCCTTTTACCATTCGAATGGGAAGATGATGATAGTGCGAAGGGAGAACAAGAACGCGGGAGATTGTAAGAAGAATTATACGAAAAGACATAAATAAATGTAATATAAATTCTGTAGCTACGCGGCTCTCCGCTCGTGTTTGGCCTCTCCTCTTTATTGATCATTAGATTAATTAGACATTTGTCGTAGGTAGAGCCTTCGATAGAGACAGGACTTCTGCTTATTCAGTGCTGAGTAGACTGGAAATGGACTAGAGATAGAAGTAAGCGATATTAGATGAGTGCGAGCGTGACGTGGCAAATAGCGCACTGGTCTGCCATGCTTTAGAGATCCCGGGTTTGATCCCCGGTAGAGCCGAAAAATTTTCACAAACTCGTGCTCCTCTCGGAAAGGCAATGGCAAACCACCGAGAGTATCCTTGCCAAGAAAACAATCTCTCAGAATCATATTTGCCGTTCGGAATCAGCGTTAAACTGTACTCGAACGATAGCTCACAATACAGACCAATAAGAATAGTCTCCAAATTGGAGAAGAAAAAGGGAGTCTCCTCTGAATCGATGCGCAGATCGTTCCTTTCTTCTAGAAGATATCAAAGATTAGTCGGTGTAAGATGTTGATAATGGAATCGACATTATGCCTTTGCCAAACAGATAAGACCGCGGTACTCGTGTTACTTCTTCTATGATTCCTTATTAACTGTTCCTTCTTCTTTTTCATGTATACTCAGTGGCATACACTGGGATGCACATATGCCTATATACAATCAGCGTGCGCACCATAGGCATATGAAGGAGAGGCCACTACGCTCGAGTATGTGGAACTATGATGAGGATGAGACTGGAAATGGATTAGAGATAGAAGTGAGCGATTAGATAAGTTGCATCACACGTTGTCTAAGTAGTTGAAGGGTCAAGTCGGTTAAAAATAGAAGTAACCGGCTAGAAACAAATTGCTCCACGTTATCTATGATAATCTAAATTGGACTAGAAGAAATAGAAGTAACCAATCAGACAAGTTACTCCACACTTTTGTACGCTTCCTCGATTGTTCCCGTGACGCTTGATAATTTTACGGTTGCGGATAAGTCGTGAGTTACACGGGCGATTCGGGCGGCAGCTTTAAATTTTATCGCAGCCCGATGCTTCTCGGTTTTTCTTTTCCACTGTAACATAAATTAGTCGATTGATCATATTGATTGAATATTTCCCATGCTACATCCCAGGCAGACTCAAAATAACATCCAAATCTGATCAGTTCATGACCAAAAATGTCGTAAAAATATCGTCAATATGACGATCTAATGTCACAGATCTATAACGATATTTTAAAACGACTTAATGACGTTTTAATGACGTCTTTAAATGTCAATAATACGTCATTAAGACGTTGTACAGAAATGTCATTAAGACGTACAGAAATGTCATTAAGATGTCACAAAAAAGACGTCATTATTTAGTCATTTGACGTCAACCAACCAGTTATGACCAGTTTTTGACGTCATTTTGACCGTTACTGGGGATAATTCATTAAGTAAGATAAAAGTACTAGTCTCCGGACATATCTCATCCTGAACATTCTTATTGTTCTATTGTCTTTAAATATGAATATTTAAATTTTTAATGTGGAATGTGTGTATATACTCAATATTTCTATATATATTTCTCTATATTTCTATATATATTTTACGCTAAAAGTTTAAATATTTATATTTAAAGAGTTAAATAAAAAAAATATCCAAGATTAAGTACGTGTCCGGAAATTTTATCTTAATGATAATACCCAAATAGCACAATCTATTAAAAGATATCTTAAAGACGTCCAAAAGATATCTTTATTCCTTTTGAACGTATTTAAGATATTTTTTAGCAGTTTATGCTGTCTGGGCACACAGTAACAAATAACGATAACAACTTTTAAAAGGTTACTCCATATTTTGCCTGAAAATGTTGGTTGTTCTGTTTTGTATATATTTTTCTTTGACGAATATCCTTATCTTCTGAACTCTCTTTTGTCGATAAAAGTATCCCAATGTCACTCATAAGCCTTCTAATCGGCTTTCAAAAAAGGTTCAGAATAAGAGTTGAAGTACATTTAATTACGTTTCTTTTAGTTTGATTTTAGTGCCAATTATACAGAGTGTCACATACACTTGTGTATGTGTGTGTGTGTGTAGCTAGACTCATTAAACTGAATACAAAATTCCTCTACCATTTCGCAATGTAAAATTTTGAATTATTAACTAAAGAAGATTGGTTAATATGTGTGCGTGTGATCGTGCACGATGTGGTAGATCAGTTGTGATGATGATGTTTGCCGTCGTTTGCTTGTATGGATATATACAATGGCTTGGTTTACATCGTGCATTTGATACGTATATTATATAGTAACTTTTTATTAAATAATATTAATATTGACAACGCATATCAACGATAACGCATTCAATCGATTCAATAAGTCTTCTTGATCAGTATTATACCAGCTTAATATACCGTTATTTGTATACATCGTCAATATTAAGATTATCTAATAGAAAGTTACTATTTAATACGCGTATCAAGTACACGGTGTAAACCAGGCCATTGGCCTTCTTGAATCTATATACAATTAGATAATCTTAATATCCACAATTCATATCAACAGCGACGCATTTTAGCAATACAATACGTTTTGTTAATGAGTATTATACCAGCTTAATATACCGTTGCTTATATATATCGTCGATATTAAGATTATATAATAGAAAGTTACTATTTAGTATGCGTATCAAGTGCGCGATGTAAATCAAGCCAATGGACTGCTGATAATTAGGCGACAGTTTCCTGAAAACTGGAGAGGATAATGTTGGTACCAAGGAAAATCTCTACACAATATAATTTAAATATCTGTTCTTTGTAACTGTACTGCTGACCTAATGCAAACGGTTAGAGTGAGAAAACGTATACTTGCCTCATTTCAATTTATTGCACCAGTTCAGTAGTGTAGTTACAAAAAACAGAATCTTTAAATTATATTGTGTAGAGATTTTCCTTGGTACCAACATTATCCCCCCCCCCCCCCCTTTT